AAAGCAAGATGGAAACTTTTGCCTCCCTTCTTATTGCTCTGCTCAGCACTAAGCAAGCTGCAGCCCAAGCTTGCCGTGCCCCCTGGCGGGCACACAGACCTCCTGCAAGCCTTCCTGTGCTACCTTCGTACTTCACTTTCCCTAACAATCTCACACCAAACGCTTTCTTGGGCTTCTCAGTACAAACTAACAGGCTGCCTTTAGAAATAAGCGCATTCCTTTCTAGCAGGCTCCTCGAGGATGTATTCTTCAGAGATAATAAAGACCAACATGCAGTACTCGTATATCACTCTCCACCTGGAAATGACAGGACAGCAATCAATATCCTCGCTTAATGGAGAGATGTGCCTTACTCTAAGTTGCTTGTGTTTTTATAAAACAACTGTAAAGACTTCTGGGAAGAGAGTAAAATGTATTACAGGTAGTTCATAACAGCACAATGCAGAGAAGAGAGACGGGTACCAACAGGCAACAGGAGTGAGTATAGTGGCTTTAATTCATTTTCAACTCTAATTTTGTGCAGTCAGAAAATTGCTTTCTTGTCTAATTGAAGCCTCTAATTACTGTCTAACTACAGTCTAAAATGCAGCACTGGTAGCAATGAAAATATTGCCCAGACTGAAATTCAGCAGGAGAGATGTGGTGGATTTTGATCCTCACATTCTGTCCTCCACTGCAAACTTAGCAGCTTCAGCTTCAGAGTGCTATTATACGTAAGAAAATTAGGAAGGAGTCAGACCAAAGAAATGTCCACTTAGTGACTGACCAGAGGCCCCTCAGGCCCACTATTCTGTCTTCAGCAGTTGTCAAAATCAACAACAGGGAAAGAATGTGACAGTGGAGCAAGCATCGACTTTCCCTGTGTTTTTTTCCAGCTTCCAACAATATGCCCATGAAGGATTTCAGACAGGCTCTGGGCACAGTGCTTTCATATCTAACAGCCAGTGGTGGATTTCCCTTTCCTGAACTTGTACAGCTGTATTTTGAACATGCTTTGAGATCCCGTATTGACCATAAACCTGGCCATAATTCTGCAATGGCAAATTCTGCTTTGTTTTGAAAATTTCGCATTGAGCTGGCTGTCCCCACTCTTCAATTTGTCATAGAAAAGAGAGGATGCTACGAAATGAAAGGATAACATAAAGTACAAGAATTTCATAAATTCAAAAGAGTGAGAAAATCATTTCTGTTTAAAACTCATACATTTTTCTATTGAGAAGCACCAACTGAGACAACTTGAATATCCTTTACTCAGATGAAAATTCTCACACAGATTTTGCAGTATGTCTGATAGAACTATGGCTTTAGTACAAAGAATTCTTGGCACTTGAGCAGAATTCTGCCACAGTTAATTCACGTTTCTGTTATGAGGCAGACCCACCTCCTCGGCTGTCCTATCTGAGTGCGTAATACTGGGCTCTGCCTCATTCCCAGAGCTCCACCTCTTTGAATGACAAACTCCAAACATTTCTATCTGTTCCCAACTGTATTTCAGGTGCTGTAGTGAAACCAGCAAAGACAAAGCAACTGAATACAAAACACTCTCCTGCCCTGTTGTACTGCAGTTATCAGATCCTCAGCAAAGTTCTCAAATCCAAATCACCCTTTATCTGCAGAACTTTTTGGCAGCCCCACACAGATTTTGATGGTACTCAGATAACCAACCCTTACAGAAAGGCTTACAAACCACTTTAATTCTCAAAATAAAAAAAAAAACAACACGTCATAAACATATCTTCATGTCTCTTGCAGATGAAAAAACAGGAGTCACAGAGGTCATCTTCAGTAACTTATGGAGATTATCTGATGATCATTTGTATACATGCAGAATGTTGTTGTCCTCCTGAACCCTGGAATGTTATGCCAGATAGGAGAAATTTGATACCACTGCTGAGCTGCATAAAAAAACCCAAGATGAGACAGCTGCTCTCAGAATAAATCTTGTTTTGTAAGCTGCCTGGAAGCAGCCCTTTCCTCTTCTTTTTGTTTTTTGCTAGGTTATTTTTTGCATAGGTAACCTCTAAGAACACTCTCCTCATCTGGCTGCATGAACACCAAACAGCATAAGGGAGGGTGAGGCAAGCAGGATCAGGAGTGCACCATCTTCACCACAGATTCCTATGAACCTCCATTGCACTACACCCCAAAACCTCAGTTATAAAGCTGAGGACAGAAGATAATATGAATACATGGGTATTATCTTGTAGAAATTGTTTGCCATCTAGTGGCTTGTTGGTCTCCTGCAAATAGAAGCTTAAAAATAATGAACTGGAGAACACAATTGTAAAAAATATATATGTTACCCAATATACTAGAACCTATACAAATACATAGGAAAGATGAAGCTTGTATAACAAAATGTTTATCATTACATGAACATGTCATGGAGACAAGCAACAAAGCTTTTACACAAGCAATGTGAGGTTCAGAAAGATGTTTGATATACATACACCATTAAGTATTTCTGTCTCTTTTATTTCAATCTTTCAATCAATTTTCATCCAGGTATCCTGATCAAATTGTTCTGTCTTTTTCTCAAACTTGCCTCCCACAAAAGCATACATTATATAGAAAATGTAAAGAAACTATATAGGAGGTCTCTGTGTTTGGGGGTGGGAGATGTCAGGGAACAGTGAGAGATGGTAGCTCTGCAAGGGAATGTGGCTGGGAGCCAAGTGGAGCAATCAAGCAGGGGAAAGCAGTCACCTCACCAAGGAGCCAGGGAGCGGAGCAGTAAGCTAGGGTCAAAACTGGTTTGCAAGATAGTGGTCAGGGTCAGCAGCAGTTAGTTGTTCACTCAGCAAGGCCACAGCGACAAGGCACATCCAAGGCCATATCAGGATGCCAAGTCAGTGAGCCTGGGTCAAAGCCAGACAGGCCCGTAGAGACTTGAGACAATGCAAATACAGCTGCTACATGGCTGCACTGTGCTGCAAGCTAGGGCAAGGGCCAGCATAAAGCCTCTGCTTCAAAGAGGCTCCCAGAAGGAAGGAGAGACAGCACCTCAGTTCTAGCTTTTGCTGCAACAGCTGTAATCAGTGAAGATTCTGACTTTGGACATTGCCAACTGAACATTTACAAACTGGTGACGTGCTCAGGACCATGGTCATCTGAAGGTAATGACAGAGCTAGGGAACATACTGAACATGGGGCTAAAGCTGGTTAATGGAAACGGCCTTCTTCATGAAAGCACTGTATGGATGTAGGTCCCACATGGAAGGAACTGAAACAAAGCTCAGAGCTTGCTGTGTTCAGTTGAGGAAAGCAAGAACTCATCCTGTTTATTAATAGAGTTTTTTAATAAGAAGCAACAAGGGACATGTGGTTCATAAAATGATCACACAATGATTTGGGGCCACTAGTTTGATGTGTACACAGAAATAACCAGATATAATCCTAGGACGTATGATGGCCATGCACTTCCATCAGAGACACTGTACAAATGAATGTAGCATCTCATCTAACTAGCTGCCCAAGTTTAACATGGGTGAATTCAAGGTAGCATATGCAGAAATGACTTGGTGGGAGAATCAGGAGAATTACATAAGAATTTCATGTCTTGCGAAATCAGATGAATAAAAACAGAGGCTAAAACAAAAGGGCTGGAGGGGATACAACAAACAGTGAGTGAACATCAGAAAGGTCAAGAACCATTTAAACTCATGGGCAGCACTGGGCAAGAAATGATTGGTATATATTATCCTAAACTAAAAATTACATTAAAAACGAATTATTTGAAAATTAATACATAATTAGGCTTTATGTTCTTCCAAGGAATGAAAGCAATCTTTTTTTCAGTGGGGTTAATACCAGCCAAAAAAATTAAAAAAAAAAAAAAAAAAAGCGAAGAAGCAGATAAATACTTTTATGTTGAATTTCTTGAGTTGTATGTGACAGCAGAGGTTTAGACTGAAAGGTCCAGAGGATTTCTTTCAGATTTATTTCCTGTATAAACCATTAATTTACAAAAAGCAGTATCTGGATAAAGTCAGACTAGATTATCTGATGTGCTCTTTTGACCTTACAAAACTAGAAATCCACACAAAGCTGGAGTTATCTATATGCTGCCTCACGTATGTGCACGTATGATCCTATGCTGTCTGAACAATGCTGAAATAAAACACATTGTTTGCAGCTACTTTTCCCAATGTTTCAAAAGAGAAACTCAGTGAAACAGAGCTCACAAGGGTGAGGGAACAGCAGCATACCTGATGAGGATCTGGCCCTTGTGCGGTTTTTTTAGACACTACTTTTTGATATATTCCAGAATATGGACTACATTTATGCAAATATGGAATCATAGAGTCATTTGAGTTGGAAGGGACTCTTAAAGGCCATCCAGTCCAACCACCAGCAATGAGCAGGGACACCTACAGCTCTATCAGGTGCTCAGAGCCCCGTCCAGCCTGACCTGGACTGTCTCCAGGGATGGGGCACACACCAGCTCTCTGGGCAACCTGTGCCAGTGCTTCTTCCTCATATCCAGTCTAAATCTCCCCTGTTTGAGTTTGAACCCATTTCCCTTGTCCTGTCACCACAGACTATTGAAGAGGCTATCCCCTCCTTTCTTAGCCCTCCCCAGTATAGGTTCTGGTCAAAGCCTGCAGACCAACACATGCACAGCAGAAAGCCAACTTAAGGCCTCACGTGGTCTGTAACATTGAGGAAACCTCAACCTGTCCATACTGATATTTGAGTTCACCTCCTGGCAAATCCTCTGAGGGCACTGCTGGGGAGTCAAGAAGCCTCTCACAGAGCAAAGCAGGGAGGGGACCAGTTCACGTCGAGCTCCACGGGAGAACCTGCCGGGAGAACCAGGGCTTGGATTTGGAAGCTGGGATCTGTCACCGCCTGCGGCGAGCCCCGAGAGAAGGAGGCGGGAAGCCCGGCCCTGGAGGCCAGCAGCCCCGCGCCTCTCCCCACCGCCTGCAGCTACGCGGCGCTACGCTGCGCGCTTTGCGTACCGCCGTTCCTCCCGCCGCCGCCAGAAAGGGGCGGGAAGCGCGTTACGTAGATGGCGTAGACCGCTACGAAAGTCGCCGCAGCCTGCGCCGGAGGCGTAAGCGCCGAGACTTTGCCCCCACCCCTCCCGGTGCCGGCGCCGAAGCCTCACGCTGCCCGCCCGCCGCCATGGCCGCTCCGGCACCGGCCCGCCTGCTGCTCCGGGCCGCCGCCGCCGCTCCCTCCCGCCGCTGGTTCCTTTCCGCTTGGCCGGCAGCGGGGACGGGGCCGAGCTGCAGCTCCGCGGCCGTGAGGGCGTTGCGGCCGCTCAGCCTCTCGGCCCGGGCGGCGCGCAGGTAAGCGGCTCGGCCCGGCTCGGTTCGGCTCGGCTCGGCGGGCTCCTCGCGGGGCGGCCGGGGCCGAGGGGCGCTTTGTGACCTTCCCGCGGTGCCCTCGCCGTGTCCCGGCCCGCTCCGACGCCTCGTCGGCTCCGTGTCGGCCCCGAGGCGCTGCCGCCGCTCCCTCCCTGCGTTCGGCCGGGCTCCGCGTTGCGGGAGTCCCGCTGGGCCCGGCGGCGGCGGGGAGCCCGGAGCTCGGCCGGGCCGGGCCTTGCGCCGTGACCGCGCCGGGTATTCTAAGAGCCTGCTTCCAGTGTTGAAAGGACGGGCTTAAAGGGCATCGTCTCGGTTGTCAGGGAAGGCCCTTTGGCTGAGAGCAGGGGCCCCCCAGCTGCCCAGCGCCGTGGGTTTGCCTGGGCTGCTCCCGACTGCTGGGCGGCTCTCACCGCCGTGGTTGGAATCATAGAATGTCCCAAGTTGGAAGGGACCTGTGAGAATCATCGATTCAACTTCTATAGAATCGCTGAAGTTGTTAAAGTAGTTCGCTTTTAAGCTCTCCTTTAGGCGCTCTTATTTTGTTCCAGCAAATGTTCTTAGTACAGAATGCAAGGAACCTTTTAATGCAGGTCTCCTGTATGCCTGCTTAGACCTCTTCTCTGAGTGACCCGGCCCAGTGCCCTAAAATAAGTCTCCAGTGACTTGCCCAGGTTATCAGTTGTTTTGAGGTCAAAACAGAAAAAGGTCTTTTAAAGCATTGCCAAGACTTCAAAAATAAAAGTTACTAACTAGATAGAAATGGGAGGAAATGGATTACTGTAAAGGGAAAACATTTTCTTACCCGATTGTAAGTACTTCCTCAATTTACTGAGGGTTATTTTTCTCCGGTCTTACTTTTTCTGGATGTTGTATTAAGCCCCAGTTCCTTAACTCTGTATGATCAGCCAGTGTCAGTCCAATAAAAAGACTGATAATAGTACATGCGTGTAAACTTACCTGTACTTATGTCCAGAAAATGAAGACCTAGCTATACGAAATCATCAGCGGCAGGGATTCTTGTGAGCAGAGGTTTCCAAGAGTTTCAGTGAGGCATCAGCATTGTTTTCATTCCCATCTTCATTATTTTTCTTCAGTCCATTTTCTCCCTTTATCTCCACTTTGCATTTCATGGGGAGCAGTAGCTATCAAACAATTCTCTTACAGCAGTTTAGATACTCATACAGTACTTTCATTGCACTACATAATTTCTGTATGTTTTAAGAATTAGTTGTTATTTATAACTTACGTATTTTAATTAAGACTTGCATAGTAGTTTAATTCATTATATTCTTCTGATAGGTTGGGCTGTTGGATGAGCCATTTAGTCAGAAAATCTGGGAATAATAGAATTGGTTTCTCCATGTGCAACACCTGGGTAAGGGTATAGATGACACTTACCTTGCAGGTAGTGGCTGAAGATTGGGTAGGATATCCTTTTCAAGGGAGGAAAGATATTCTTGCAGGCCACATCCTTTGTGCAAAGGAGGGACAACGAACAGCACTTAACAGTTCTCTGCTGCTGTTCAGTTCATTTGCTGTATGTTTTATTTGGGGTACCCTAGTGACACTTGATAATAATGTCAATAGTACTGTGGCAACATATGAAGGAATGAATTTTATTAACAGATAGCTTAAAAAAAAGAAGTTAAGCTAAGCATGAATTGGGATGTTTATGCTTTAGGTAAATCACATGAAATATGTTTGGTTCTTTCCGGGAATCCTGAGGCTATTCATGCTTGCGTAAGACCTGGCATATATTTCATGTTAATCTTCTGTGTGCAGTTCACAGAGTGGTGGGGGTTTTGTTGCTCTTGTTGTTTTTGTTGTTGCTTTTTTCTTTCTCTATGTAAATGTTGTCTGGGTAGACAAAAGCCACGTTGCTTGAAATTTATAAACCCTAAGCACTGTTCCACATAGGTGTGATTTTTCTTTCAGTGGAATCTCTCAGTTGAAAAGATCTGCACAGTGTGCATTCTGACCCTGTGACTAGCAATGTGCTTAAGCTTTTGGAACTTTTTTCACAGTCAGGCTCATGCACTGTAATGTCTCAGTGATCTGTAAACTGAACTTTTTGTCTGTGTGAAGGGGACTTAAGGTGGCAATCACAGGAATCACAGAATGGCCCAGGTTGGAAGAGACCTCAAGGATCATGAAGCTCCAAGCCCCCTGCAATGGGTAGGGCCACCAACCTCTACAATTAATACTAGATCAGGTTGCTCAGGGCCCCATCCAACCTGGCCTTGAACGCCTCCAGGGATGGGGCATCCACAACCTCTCTGGGCAGCCTGTTCCAGCACCAGGAAGACAGATCCTACTGGAAGACCAAAGTGTCTTAAACTTTGTTACAAATAAATCTCAGTTTCAGTGATCAACCAGGTGGATTAATTCTCATAGGAAGGATTAATTTTGTAATGTTCTTTAACAAAAACTGATGAGTTAAAGATGTTGCTTCACTTGAGCATGCCCAGCCCTAGTGCTGCCCCACAGCTGGCTAAAGCCAATGTAAGATGGTGGCTGCAGAAAGAGGGGTGCTATTCCTGTCTTCTTGTTTTAACCAGATGTGTCATGTAACAGGTAGATCTGACTGTACCAGTTCTGCTGTTCATATGGCCGCAGGGCTTCCAAGATTGGTTTTCAGCCAATGGTGCTCTGTTTCCAGCCCAGTTCACTGCAGAGCACCTTGAGTGCTGCAGGAGGAGGCAACAAAGGAGGGATGGGAAAACCGTTGTTTATCTGACACTGCTGTTGTTGCAGACTGAAGTGTGATCACCAAGGAAGATAGCCCTGTGTGTGTTGTGAAAACCTGCCTAGAGAGGATCTCTGAAGGAGCCTCTTAGGAAGGTTCCTGTCGTCTCACAGGATTGTAGTCAGACATCTTGCTATTTGGACTGTGCTACTGGTGATTGCCTTATTCTGTAGTGGAAGAATGGATGTGCTTTAGATATTGAACAAATATTTAGCACTTACATGGGCATAAGATGTCTATAAATGCAACAGCATCCCTGTCTCCTGCTAGGATCGTGTTTGTCATGTTGACAGAAATGTTTTAGTAAATGAGTGTTTCAGCGAGCTCTGGTAGGACTTCTTGAACTTGAAAGAAAGAAAGAAAGAGAAAAACAATTAACTAAAAAAAAAACCCCAACAATATTGTTGGTGGTTTACTTTAGCTGCCAGAATTGGAATCTGTACTTTTGCAGATGCAATCTAAGCCTGTCAGTGAAGTTGACTTTTGGTGAAAGCAGTGAATTTTGCGCTTGTGTATCTGGGAGGTGGGTGCTGGTTTCCTCTCTTTGCTGTGGGAGGTAGTAATGCTGAGCAGGGAAGTGGAAAGAAGAGCACAGTGGTAACTTAAACTTTAGCAGAATGGTGTGCTGGAAGTGCTGCCCTGATACCACTGGTGACTGCAGAACACAAATTGTGTTATATGAAGATGCATCTTCTAAAATTTCTGAATTTCATTATAGTGTGAGCTCCATTTGAATCGTGCAGGTCCACAGGGTTGATCCAATAATTATTGATTATTATTTTGGAATGAATTTATGATTAATAGTCACCTGCAGTTGCCTTCCAGAAAGTAGGCTGAGGGGTGATAGGACAGGAGTTGGACACAACATCATGATGTGATAGCAGGTACTGTTGCCAACTGAGCTTACAGATGGTACAAGTGCATTAAGTGTAGAGCAGTGAGCATGTTTGTTGTTCAAAATGAGCTTCAACTTTAATTGCTGGAACTGCATTTTCTTTTGTAGCCAGTTCCAAGGATGGTTGACTTGTTGATGTTTCAGTAAGGCCACTTTTAATTTTTTAATATTTAGTGCTACAAGTTAGAGTTTCCTAGGAGGTGGCTTGGTTTTTCAGCCTTGTATGTGTTCTGTGTTGTAGATCACTTAAAGTCTGCAGTTATTACAAAGAGCATATGTAAGATGAAGTGAGCTGTTCTTAAACACGGATTTCACACTGAGGGATAGAAGTTGCATTAGCTTTCAGTTGTTCTATATGTATCCCTCAGCAAGTTTCTTTCCTGTCTATCCAACAGGTTTTTCTTGTGTTACTTACTTGCCCTGAGAAAGAGCATTCTGTTCTAATGAACTGTATTTTCTTTGCTATTATAGTAATGACTTTCCTTTAATTTGCATGGGAAAGGAAACCATATGGAACACACAAAAAAAAACCCTATTTTTTTCCATATCAAAAGCATTAGTCTTAAGAAAAATAATTTCCTTACGTTCTGCATAAAAATTTAAGTATACACAGCTGCCTGAAGAGCAAAGCAGGAGACTTTTCTTAGATGTCTGTGTTGAGATTTTGATGCACTTCACTAGAGTAAATATTTACAAGGTGAAATTCTAAGAGAACCTGCAGTCAAAAAAGACAAACACGTTTGGACTATTTCTGCTGTTGGAAGGAGAACAGAATTAGATTGTGTAGAGGTAATAAGATGCCTTAAGTTCTAACCATATATGGGAAAATTCTAAACTCGTTAATTCTTTTTAGTGTTATCTGCTAGATCATTTTGTAAATGTAAAGTGTGTGTTCACAGAGAAGTGCGAAGCACTTGAAGTCAGCTCTTTTGTTTGTCAAAAATACAAATAGTCTGCCTAAAAGAAAGCGTTGAATCCCTTTGGCAAAAGGTGAAGCATCAGGATTCTGTATGACTTCTAGTGACAAAACATAAGTGAAGGGGTTTTTGGTGTTGTTTTTCATGTCTTTGTTGTTAATGTCACCAGTGAATGCCTGAACCTATTACAGCTTTGAAAAGTCAGTAAGTCCCTTAGAGTTCTGTGCTCCTGCAGTTGATAGAGGTTATTGTTGTAGCAGTATCAATCAAATTTAAAGCTCTAAAAAATAATACATTTGCTTCTTTAATTTCATTATGTCCTTTTCTTTTTCAGCTCAGAAGATAAAATAACTGTTCATTTCATAAATCGCGATGGTGACAAGCTAACAGCCAAAGGAAAACCTGGCGATTCATTGCTGGACGTTGTTGTTGATAATAATCTAGACATAGATGGTTTTGGTAAGTGGATTCCTTGAATACTCTATTCAGTGTCTGGAACTTAGGATCTCTTACCAGTTTATTCATAAATATTTATGAGTGTATTTGTAAAACCTAGATGTGGAAAAGAGTCCAAATAAAATACTTTTTTTTTTTCCCCTGTAGATGCATAGAATATTTTGGATCTGGTTCTTAAAAATATTTGGGTGAGCCTTGCTTGAAGGAATTAAAGGAGGATAATGGTGACAGAATGGTGTCA